CACCAAATATTCAATAATTTTCATATGTAATGATTCGATTGTTGTTTTATTAGACTTGACCCCATATTTTATTGATTAAGAGAACATCGAAGGCTATAAATAAATATTTGATTTAAAGCGATTCGATAGGAATAAAAAAAATGAACCAACAGTGATAGAGGGTTACTTACCTCAAACAGCGTTAAAATAATATTTCCCAAGCGAATCTCAAATTACCAAGATCCACCTCAATCTCAAAACCTAATAAAATATTACACCGTTAAAAAATTATCTGTGCATCCCATCCATCTCTTCTTAACAAAATAGAATAAATTATCCCAATAGTCTATTAGAGAACTCCCACGATTTAGCTCAAAACAAAAGCCATCACGGGCTTACAAGAAATCTATCAACCCATATTATTCTATTGTTTGTTTGTATTACATGTAAAATTATTTATGTAATGCTTGTAGTCAATCATGATCCCACAAATACAGCCAATCATTTAAAACTTAACCCATACATATATCAATCTTCAAAATGATGAACCATCGCCAAACGGGGATGCAAGAACATACATCTCTGGAAAATGTGGAGCAAAAATCGAGACCAGCCCAAACATAGATACAGCAAAATATATCTTAATCATATTATGCCCATAAAATCATCTATTGAATAATAATTAACACAAAAGATCATAGATAAAGAATAACAATAAAATAAATCTTACCATTAAGTGATGAATAAAGAAATCACCACTCTATGACATCCTCCTTACTTCCAACTTTGGTTTTGTTTTGTTGTTTAATTTTTTCTTTTAACCTTCTCAAACCTCTAGCCGCCTATGGAGCAACTTTGGCCAGCCCTCTATTTGTTTGTTTCCAAGATTAAAAGCACAATAGGTGGCTTTATAACCTAATTTCTCAAAATTACAAGAAATTACCATCTAATAAGTATAGAAAATATAATGCATTCTCATAACAAATTCTTTGATATTAAATATGACAACCAATAATAAATTAAAGTTTCATTACTAATATATCCAATAAATAATTTCCTACACAGCAACTTAGGAATTTTACATTAAGACAGTCAAGACAAAAGCCATAGCCCAGCAAAGACAGCTTTCCCCGATACCGACGGAATAGTATCAACTGGTATAAGAGACCTAAGGCGGGGCACAAACCGAGCTAGCTTCTTGGATGCTAACAGAGGCGTACCATTCAGATCGACCATGTATGAACCAGACCAGGAGGTCACGTCCTTTACAACTCCAAGAGCAACTGTTGCTACAAGTCATGCCGCTGCGTGGCTAAAGAACGCAGGGGCAACATTCCAGGAGAGATGGTCCCAAAGATGTTTGACGTTGTTGTTAGGCAAGAACATGGAGGCTTCATCGACGACATGGAGAGGTCAAGAGCAAGGATGAGAACGACCACTTGAAAAGGGACCTAGGTGAGATGGTTCCAGATTCTGAAGAGGCACAAGCTTGCCGCCATTAATATGCTCTATAGTGCGCGTATCGGATATAGATTGGCAAAATTCTAGGCTTCACTATAGTCGACACGAGGGTTGTAAGGCAGACCCTCCCAGATTCAAAAGATTATTCAGGATCCTAGAGAGGCCTAACTGCAGTAAAATGAAGCGTAACATCTCACCAGTCATGGCAGCTGCAAGCTATGCAACAACCGATTCATTAGTCGACGTCAGACAGACTACGACCATTTTTTCAAGCATTAAAAGCAAGTTCGAAGGTGGCGAAGCATGCGAACCAGCCCGGCTCTGAACTTGAAAGAATACATGTCTTCTCCACACACAGCACTGTTGTACGGCACACACAAAGGCCAAACTGGAAGAAGAAACTCTTCCTGACCTGGAAGTCTCTCACACGTCAATTAGCGCTGCTGTAGTGTTGTTATCAGTCTCACATTGCACTTTGTGAGATTAGATTCAGAACCGTGACAGGAGTCTGAACTGTAGGACCAATTCGAGCTCTTCGAAAGGGGGTGCGAAGAAAGGCGAGTCTACACTTTTTGAATTATTTTTTAATTATTTTTCTAATATAACTTTTTTATTTGGTTATGTAAGGTGCTTTAATGGTAGTTCCTCTCACTTACAATTTTCATGTTTTGAAAGACTCTTGTGGTGCTTCTGTTCTTTCCCACATGTTCTTTCATATTGGCTGACTCTTTTCACATGGTAAGAATCTCTTTATTCTTGTTTTTAGTTTTAAATTTATTTCATTGCTACTTTAATAGTTAATGGAAATTGATATTTTATATCGTTGCTTCTTTTTTTCGAACTTGCAGATTTGGATGCTTGTCACTTCAAGTCCACACTAAAAAAATTATATCTATGTTCCTTTCGTTATGAATACTTTGGTATGGCCAGTCAGCATGTTGATGAGAAGCACTGAATGTGGTAAAAAGGTCCATTTTCTAACAAGAACAAAAAAAATGTGTCTAGTTTCTAATGACAGCATTTATCCTATCTCAAAAATCTTTGATATTTGGTACGCGACACGATAACAATATCCTTACCTTCCTAATGTTGACCTTCATAATGAAGCATATACTTTTGATGATTTATGTGGATGGGGCCATTTCATGTTCCTATAGGACAAATTTGATGGAGGTGAAGGTTTCGATGATGATTTAAGGCCAACAAATGGACATGGATGATTAAACCCTTCACCAAAAGTGACCAGTGACCATTCTTTTTTATAAACGTGATGTAATTTGGATGGCTTCTTTATGGATGATGTAATGTGGATGTAAATTTGATTTTGGTAATCCATGTATGTGTAGATTATTGATGTGTAAGGTTGTAAATTTGATTTTGGATGCCAATCTATTTGGCACAAAATGCATCCATATTGCAAGAGTACGGAGCAATTGATTGCACGATTGATTGTGTACCATTGCCAGCCAACAATACAAATTTGCTCCAATTGATTGTGAGATTGTAACATGCTTAGTGCCTAATAGATTCACTATGAATCGATTGTAAACAATATTTAAGCAAATTATATAAGGATGCCAAACTTTTTTTTTTTTTTTGTCATTGCCATGGGCTCCAAAATGGATTGGCCAATTGAGTGGTGTTCACTTTCTCGTAAGAATTGATTGACTAATAGGTTCCCAATCAATTTACCAATCGATTGGAAATTGGAAAGTGCATTGCCTTGATAGAAATCAATTGGCCAATCCATCGACTATAATCCAAATAAAAGCTAAAAATTAAAATCTTGAGTGTTTAGTCAGGCCATAGGTTTCCAAATTAGAAATGAATATAATAACAAGGTTTGAAGTTAACAAATTGTATCATTCACAATCTCCTCATAAATTACTATTCAATACATTAAACATAAGCAAAATACATCATATTTCAAACATCAAGTAACTTATCCTTATTGACAATTTTCAAAAATTTAGAAGAAAAAAAAAAAAAAGGGCAATTTGCTACCATATTTCAAACAATAAACAACTTGGTGAGGTCATATTTACTAAGAATTTTTGTATACACGAAACATATCATATTAAACTCTCAAAAATAAGCAAAAAGTGTTCATAAATATATTGGGACAACCACAAAACTCATAACATATTCAACAATCAGTTTAGTCTAAGCATAGAAAACAATGAAAAGGCCAAGGTCAAGGCTCCTTAGAAATTCATCTTCGTTTTCAACATCTTTTGTTCCCGACTCTTCTTTATCTCCCTTATCATCATCTTCATCTCTTCCCAACTCTTCTTCGTGTTCCTTATCCTCACCTTGTCCTCCATCCTCATGAGAGGTATCTACATTTTTTTTGTCAATTCATTCAATGTCACTTACATAGATTTTAGTTCCTCGTACATCTAGACCTACCTTTTGTCCATACAAGCTTGGGTGTTTTCCAATCGCTTCACCACATCCAGGACCTTACCAATCCGAATGGCTATACCTGCTAAGGAGGACAAAATAAAAGTCATGGGTAAGTACAGATTTAAAATTGAATGCATGTTGATTTTTTGTTTTTTTTCCAAATTGTGACGGTGGGTTTTGCACAATTGGTATTTGTAATCTTCGCTACTGTAGGTTTAGTGTAGATTCATAGTCATCCAGAGATTGTGCAAATTTGAACAGTGGTAAACACAACCACCCCACACCCTACTACATCAAAGAATAAAACAAGCAGGCCCTCAGAAAACCTAGATGTTGCCCAAACCTCTGCCACTCTCACAATACCTAATCTAACTCAACTCAGAGACCAAGTCCTGTACAGAATAATTGTGTATACTAACTAAGTAAGACATGCTTTGAGGCTAAAAAGAAGTCCTATTCTATCTCACCTATGCCTCAAGTAAATGAATAAGCTAATAGCAAGCGTGCGTTGTAGCAGTTTTAGATTGAAAGCTAGTTTTTTCCAACTTCAAAGCAAAAGAGGAAGTTTTGACTAATTAATCAATAATTTTTTTTTTCAATAAGGGAAAGAAAGAAATTTAAACATAAATAATTAATAAGACAATGATACACCTCCTCCTTCAAAATAAAAGAAGACCCTAATCCAAATCAATGCTACAAAGAAGCCTCAATTACCACAAAGAAGACTTACGGATTTGCACATCACAATCAAGAGTTTATAGCAAATAACAAAAACCAGTTGCTCAAATATCAAACGACATATCCAACAAAAATATATGAGAAAGATGTTATGTATTTTCTTTTAACCAAAAACCTCTTCTTCTTCTTCTTCTTCTTCTTCTTTTTTGGCGTGTAAGTGTGCAATTGCACAATATTTAATTGTTTTCCCTTTAATCCATAAGGCACCCTCATAAACCAATCTAGGCACTATCTAACATAATACAAAGGGAATAGCAAAACCTATAAGAAGACTCAAAGGAAGGGAAAACTCCTAAAAAATTGCCATGTTTTCCTGCTATACCACAAGTGCATGTGTCTACTCCAAAAAATACATCTCTTAATTATGCTTCATAAAGTTAGTAAGATACTCAAGTACTCTAAAACCTCTAACATTCTACTTGTTAGAATAGTAGAGAGAGAGAGAGGAAATAATATGTATTGTATTGAATGGCATTGTCCTATACAATAGAAGGCCTGTATATGTAGGTTGAGAAAGAGTATCCTATTAGAAATCTAGCTATGAGAAAGAATATCCTATAAGAGACCTAACTATGGCAATACCTAATATATCTAGGAAATAAATACCTAATATATGTAGGAATATATACCATATATACATTAACATCCCTCCTCAAACTCAAGGAGGATAAATATCTTTTGTTTGGAGAGAGAAACTAAAACATGAAATAAAATAAAAGGCAAATAGATTGCAAAATCTGAACGAGAGCGCAAGGGCGCGTGAAATAGATCAGAGGCCAGAACTAAAGCCGGGAGACAGTTTATGGTCGTGTCGGACCATTGTAGGAACTGGCTGAAACTAATGTCAGGACAATTTAAGGTCGTGCTGGACCGATATAAAAACTAGCTGAAACTAATGCCGAGAGACAGTTTATGGTCATGTTGGACCATTGTAGGAACTGGCTGGAACTAATGCCAAGACAGTTTAAAGGGGTCATATTGGACCGATGTAGGAGCTAATCGGAATCAATGTCCGGACAGTTTAAAGGGGTCATGTCGGACCGATGTAAGAGCTAATCGGAATCATTGTTGGGACAGTTTAAAGGGGTCATGCTGGATCGATGTAGAGAACTGGATGTTGAACCAACAAGCGTGGCACGGCACGCACATAACTTATGACGTGGTGTTGAACGATGATGGCAACAGATAACTGAGTGCGCTAGGGGGCGGCTTGGATTGTGCGCCAAAGGGGGCAGCTTAGGTTGTGCGCCAAAGGGGGCGGCTTGGATTGTGCGCCAGAGGGGACAGCTTGGATGGTGCGCCAGAGGGGGTAGCTTGGGTGGTTCGCTTGGATTGAGTGCCAAAGGGGGGTGGCTTGGATTGTGCGCCAAAGGAGGCGGCTTGGATTGTGTGCCAAAGGGGGTGGCTTGGATTGTGCGCCAAAGGGGGCAGCTTGGATTGTGCGCCAGACGGGGCGGCTTGGATGATGCGCCAAAGGAGGTAGCTTGGGTGGTTCGCTTGGATTGTGCGCCAAAGGGGGTGGCTTGGGTTGTGTGCCAAGGAGACAACTTAGAGAGTGCGCCAAAAGGAGGCGGCTTTGGTGGTTTGCATGGTGTGTAACCATGTTCACCATGATATAGGTATAATACCCCCCCTTAAACTCAAATAGGTTTGAAGATAGAAACTTATTTGAGGTTGAAGTAGAGGGAAAGACAGAGTGGAGCAGAAGCACATAAAAAAAATATGATAGAGATGTTTAGGGTAGCAATAAACCAGAGGACAAATGAAGAGATCACTACAAAGCGATATTGACAGGAAAATATGACAGCGGAATAGGTTGAGGTCCGCCAGGCGGCCAAGGCAAGGCTGTCGGCCGTCGATAAGGCGAAGTACACCAAGAGCTTAACCTATAGCTCTGATACCATGTTAGAATAGTAGAGAGAGAGAGGAAATAATATGTATTGTATTGAATTGAATGAATTGTATTGAATGGTATTGTCCTATAAAATAGAAGGCATGTATATATAGGCTGAGAAAGAGTATCCTACTAGAAATCTAAGTATCCTACTAAAAATATAATTATGAGAAAGAGTATCCTACAAGAAACCTAACTATGGCAATACCTAATATATCTGAGAAATTAAAACCTAATATATGTAGGAATATATACCATATATACATTAACACTACCTTTTACTAAATTTGAATTTTGATGCAAAAGGTGAGTCCCAACCTTAACTAAAAGTTGCAATCTTAACGAATCAATTCCCAAAACCTTGACTCTGAAATAGACATGAACCTATCATTCAAGAACCACTACTTAGAAAATTTATTTGTAATAGACATCCCTCGTTCATACCTCTTCGTTTTATTGGAAACCCACCAAACCCATTTCATAAACAAACCACACAAGCGATACAAGAGATGAAACTTTTAATACATTTGTTTGAACTATCAATAGCCATTACGTAAAGACTTAGACTAACGTACCAAAACCAACCCTTCGAGCAACTAAAATAAATAAATAAAAAGAGCCAATAGTTAGAGACAATATTATGTGCAACCCTTAAGGGGTAGCATATTGAAAGGGATTCTTTTTTCTCATGGATTTTTCAAAACGTGCATGGATACAACTCTTGAGTCTAGCCATTAGTGTGGAAACTTATGTCGAAGTGGGGTACATAAGCTCTAAGTCTCAAACAATTTTTGTATGGATTTTTATGCACAAGTCAAAACATTTAGATACCAAATAATCAATCTTGACAAAGCTCACATTCTTTATCATTTTACTTGTTGGTTCAACCATTTAATAATTTATAGAAATACATAACACAAATATTCTCTGTTTTATTCTTTGTTTTTAAAAGTTTGATACATATTCCTTCATGATTTTTCTTTTTTTCTTTTTTTTTGGG